GCATACGATAAAAAAAAAAGTGTAACCTTCAGTCAAAATCACATGTCAAACTGATCTGTAAATTCAGATATATGGGCAGCCAAAAATAGATGCAGATGCAAGTATTTTTAGTGTAAAATATGGCCTTGGACTTGTCCGCTTCCCTTCCCATTGGGGAGGCTCAAGTAGAGACAGAGCCAAGTTCAACTTTTACTGGAAAAATGATTTGCATATAACTTCAGCTGCCTATATCACTAGATGTGCTAACCATTCCGACATGCAGTTTTCACAAAACGTAACCAGCTTATACATTGTTCATCTCATGCTCCATTCCAGTTGCCCAGGTTAGTGTCAGGTTTAGCCTAGGGCTATATAGCGATGAAATTTCTTTGCTACTGAGATTTAACTGCTTGTTGATCGTTGACTCATTATTATCACATTGATTTCAGAGTGCTGAAAATAGGGTGACATCCAACAAGCAGGGAAATCCTGGACTCCAAGTCTTTAATGAGCTTAGACATTCTGGCTAAAAAGCATAAAATGTTAAATATCTGGTCATAATACAGCGCCATTTTGTTACATTACAAATATAAGTAGTATGACATCACAGATAATGCAGATGCTTTTTATTATCCCGTTACTGGTGGATCTCAGTCCAGTGATCAAGAGGTTAGAACCATAACTGTTGGTACCCATCAGGGACATTGCTGGTCCCTGGCATGCAGGACACGTGCACCTTGTCTTCTATTGACTGCTCCAGGTGTCCTTTACCATCATGTCAAGTATGATCCTTTAAATTAGGTCATCCATTTTTACTGTCTCTAGTCATTGCAATTTGCCCTGGCAATTGTTTCGAATCATGTTGGGTAGATAGAACCTGGCAGTACTTGGTTTCTACATTTAGCTGGATCTCACAGTGCATATTTATTTTTCACTAAATAATATTAGATTATTAAGAATGTTATATTATATGAACATTACATTTTATAACATTTCATTTATCAACTTTTTAATTAAAATTCTTTTTATAAGCAATATCGTACGTTTGATTTTTAGAATCTTGACATACTTCCAGGTAAGAGTTTCACATCCTAAAGAAATGTAAATTATGCAAAATACTCCATAACAGACACACAATGCTTCTGATAAACATTTTATTAGAACAAATCTTTTCACTATACTTCTTGCATAAATTATGTATATAAGTATATACATGGAAAATAGAAACACATAGTGAGAAAATCTACAGGGATCTTTCCAGGAAGCATTTTACATGTGCAAAGGAAATAAAGAAAAAATAAAAGCAATGTTCCCTCTTCAGCACCACCAAAAGCCAATCTGATCCGTTGTACCTCAGCTGGTGCAGGAGTCTTGTTTATGCCTTTGTATAAACTCAACCATAGGTGCTATATTATCAATGACCGAAAACCTAGCTGCCTTACCTGATGAAATAGGGCTGTGTGCTGTGACTTGCAGGTATCCAGCTAAGAGAGGTGACATTAAAATTGAAGCGCTGCTTGAAATTACGATTTGTAACAAACCATAGCTTGGCAGTGTTTTAGGAACGGAGTTAGAAATGCAAAGTCTTTCCCTAATGTGCTTGTTTCCCTAACAATCTCTATATGTTTGTCTCTCTCAGCTAGAAAATACTTTGTTTGTACCTACATGTTTATTTAAATGTGACATTCTCCTGAGGCTGTAAAACAGACTTCTGTAAACACACCAGAGATGGCCACAGATGTGTTACCGGGAATGATGTAGTGAACATTTACACGTTTGTTTTTCTACACGATCTGAGGATTATTATACAACTGTCAGTCAAGATATAAGTCTACTACTGGGTTTGGCCAAACTTTGCTTTTAAATGTTAGCACTTAGGCATTTGATAATTAATACAGCCTGTCATTTGAAAAAATGTTTAAGTGTTTTCCTAGATTGCCAATATAACAAAATTCATGATTTGAGATAAACCTGTGCATAGTTAGGAAATACTGAAGTAGAAAGATGGCCGAAAAGCTGGCAGATAAAGGTGACTGCACATATCTTCTGATGTCTTCAATCCGTTTTCTCAAAAACCTAGGGGATATATATATACATATATACACACACACTAAGTGGCTTCCAAGAAGAATCGCCGCAGTATTGAAGGCAAAAGGTGGCCCAACGAAGTACTGATGGGGTGGTCATAATAATCTGGCCACTCAGTGTGTGTATATGTATATATATATATATGCCCTCCAAGGTGCCAGGGAACTCTATGGGGGTGTCAGAATAGAAAGCGGCAGGAGATAAGTGAACATCCTTAAAGCAACCAGCTCTGATCACTTCCAGGTTGAGCTGTACATTTCCAGTCTTCATGGCCAGGAAAGAAGCTTAATTGAGTGTGAGTCATTTGCACTATGCTATCACACAGGCAGCTTATCAGCCCTCTTGTTATAGCAATAAAGGAAAAAATAGTTTAATAAAGTTTAGTAATATAAATAATAAAAAAAAACTCCCCAAAAAGTGTTTAAAGCTTCGCCATCTCCATGTAAACACAATCAAAAACGTGTGTGGGGTGCACCTGCATATAAAATCTTTTGCAACACACAGTCCCCCATTCAGCAGCATAAGCTGAATGGGGGACTTTATCTTGGGACAACAATAAAGCTATACTACAAGAGAGAGACTGCCAAGTTCAAGAAACCATTTGCCAATAAAAGCTTAATGCCTGAAGTCCTGTTTAATACAGAAATCGTGGACTAGCTATAACAAAAGCTTATTGACCTTTAGTATATCCCTTTTGCATACAGACTATTGTCAATTGTCATATGCTAAGAAAGGATAGATAGCACGTGTATGTATGCACATGTGTAGCCCTCTGTATGTCTTGTATTGTTTTCCTGTAACTATAAGTATTTTGTATATAGCATTCTTGTTTAGTAAAACCAAATTAGTATACAACTGTGTGGGATTCCTTGGTAAGGAAAATAATAAGTCGATTAGGCTGTTTGTATCATTCTTTGCAGATGAATTATACAAACAGGCAAAGAGATAAAAGCAAAATATTGGGGGGAACCCATTTATACAAATACTGACCGCACCCACAAAGTCAAAGAGCTGCCATACCTCCTGCACCTTACTATTGGTCAGTAAAGCTATCCACCGCAGTGATAATTCAGTAATAAGTTGTGAGAGGTGTTGTGTAAGGAAATAAGTCACTATTTCTTTAGTGGAATGTCCCTGCTGAGACTCTTGAAGTACACATCAACACACCTGGTATGTGCAGGAACCTCTAAGTTCAGCTTTGCAGTCATGTTGCCACTTCAGTGCTTTGGAGCTTTGGACAGGCTTATTGTAACTAAAACTGAAGACAGTGCCTTCCCCTCCTGCCTTAAAGTTTATTAAAATTCAGTTACCAAAGTGCATCGAATTACTCACATGTGAGAGATGGAAAACAAGCGGTGTATGTACACAAATCACAGAACTCTGCTGAAGGTGTGATTTTCCCCAAAACGCGTCTGCTCTGCAGTCCTGTTCCCGGTTGTTGTGTACATACACTGCTTGTTTTCTACCTCTCACATGTGAGTACTTTGGTAACTGAATTTCAATAAACGTTAATGCACGGGGAGAAAGTGCTGTCTTCGGTCTCCTGAAGTGTCCGGTTTAGAAGATGTCTGATGTCTAAGTCTGCTGAGCGCTGAGATTGAGGCTCTTTTTCAGGTTTACTTTAACTGATAAAATAATGTTAAAAAAGGGACAAAAAATGAAGAACTGATTGTTATACACAGATAAATGCACTAAAAGGTATAATACTGCAGTGTATGGTTTATAGAGTCCCGTAAACGTGTATGTATTATGCTACAGCACCAAGAAACAAGGACATTTCTCTCTATTTCACCCAGAAACCATCTTTTGCATTGCTTTGACAAATTTGATACTGTGGCACTGATAAAACAGTTTACTTTGCAAACAAATTTAGTAACAGCATTTTCCTGTTTTTATTGACTATTTAAATATCAGTTGTGCCCTGTTTGAATTGTTTAAATACTGTTTGTTATCATGGGAGAATTGTAAACATAGTGGTTTTCCTAATTGAACATTCCATAGCAACTGCATAGCTCCAGAGAGTCCAGATTTGCAATAGGATTTCAAAGAATATCAGGTCCTAAAAGGGGAGGCTGTGAGGACACAACGTGGCTATTCCACATATGGCCATATTTAAGGTCAGAATTTGGGTGAATCAAAGATGGTACGCAATTCTCATTCTGCCGACAAGCAATATTCGAAAGGTTCTTGTCGTTTAGAATGGACATTTCTAAAGCCAATACAGGTATAAAGTGACAAAATAGCTAATAAGTGCTAGTTACATAGTTACAAAGTTTACCATTTCATTTGCCCACAATCCAGTATCTAATTTGTCAAGATTATGTTAAAAATGGAATTAGTAATAAACACATAGATGTGGGATGAAATACATTTTTGGCAAAGTATAGGTCACCTAAAAACCTATACACACAAAATTACCTAAAAAATAAAACATTGTTGGATGATTAGCTGACTTTATAAAAAAAAGCAATTCCCTAATAGGTTTTAAAAAAGCTAAACGTTTTCTTTGAGATCTGCACAAATTTGAATGGACTGTACAATCCATGAACATTTATATGTGAACAACAACGGACAATACTATTGTAGTGATGGTCTCTATCGGAGCCTCTGGCACCTGAATACAGATGTATACACTGTATTACTGAATACTCTTATTTCTGGCAGGTAACCCTTAAGTGATGAGCTTTGGAGGGAATACCTGTTCACAGGTCATTGGGGTGGTATGCCACTAGAAGTGTTAGTAAGTTCTTTGAAATACTGTAGCATTTCCAGGTACAGGGATGCTTCCAAAGCTTATGTGATCAAATGTAGAAACCCCATTTCTTAGCTGAGTTGGACAAATTTATAATTCGTCCAGATCCCATTAGGACAGAGGACCCTAACCCCCCACCTCCAGCGCCCCAACCCCCCCCCCCCCCCCCCCCCCCAAAGTCTTGGGTTTCACAGAAAAATTGTCTTTTCTTAGTAGCGCTGTTCTGCCTCAGGGTCATGTATCAGGTTGTCCACCTCCCACCCGCTGTCCATACTCCATACCCAGAGAACACAGTGATGTGTCAAGGACTTGTTGCACTTTGGAGGCTGTAGGCGGTATCAAAAGAGGAGGAAGAACAGAACTAAAGGTAGATCTGCTGTGAAAACCACATGGATTTCCTCCCAGGGAACTTCTCCTTGAAACCGGGTCAGGGAGATGTGGGGGTAAGTTGATGTCTTAAGCATAGTAAGTGTCAGTTTTTGCCATCTGGCAGTACATTGTCATGGCAAATGTGAGTCCCAGGATCTAAAAAAGCAGAGAAAAATCAGGTATAAACAAGATAACATTAATTATAAAACAATGTAAAACCCTGGACATGGCCAGCTCTCAATATGTATCCAATACATACAAATAATTAGCTGATTTATTGGAAATATGAAGGAAATCCCAATATGTATTTCACCAAACTGCTCTACTTAAAAACAGTTCCCACTATCTCAACCGGACAACCCCCACCTGCTAAGCAATTTACCTTTCTTAACCCTTAACCACTTGAAGACCTGTGTATGAACCGCCTTTCTGTTCAGGCCTTTTTTCAGTATTCAGCGCTGCAGTTCTTTGACATTTATTCAGTCATGCAACGCTGTACTGATATGAATTTTATATATTTTTTAGGGGGACAGATAGAGCTTTCTTTTGGTGGTATTTACTCACCACTAAGGTTTTTATTATTTGCTATATAAAGAAATGTACCGAAAATTTGGGGAAAAAAATAGTTTTTGCTTCGTTATGTTAAGAAACATTTATTATTACCAAATTTGTGGGTAAAATATAAAAGACGGGGTCATGTCGGGTAAATAGACACCAAACATGTCAAGCCTTAAAATCGCGAAAAGCTACCATACCCAAAATTATCCATAGGCAACGCTTTAAAAGCTTTTACCGCTCATCGGTTTAGTGTTATTAGTGATTGATGGCCCTATAATTATTGCTCACACGTTTGTGGTGATATGTAACGGCGCAATGGGTGCAATCGTCGTCTTTGCTTTCACATAGTGAAAATTTTTGCCTTAACAAAATGGGGTTGATTTACTAAAGGAACATAAGCTGTTCACTTTGCAAGGGAAATTGGGAGATATGTCCTGTTGTACAGCGCTCTAACGGGGGGGTTGAGGAAAGGGTTTGGTAAGGGGTTTGATATTTGCGGGAGTAAGCGCAGGAAATTGGCAACTCAGTGAGCTGCTTCAAGTGTGTACAGACCGGGGTGCTCGTAATTTGTAAAGGTGGGAGATGAAGCGCTCCAACTGAGTTGTACCCGTCTAGCAGGTGGGGGTCAGGCTGGCTGAGGGGAGATGGTGCACTGGAGTATGTTACCGCTTAGCGAAAACCGGGTGATGGTGAGGCAGGACTGGGAAAGGTGGGTGTTGGGGAGGGCAACCCTGGGGATCAGGTCGGAGGGCAAGACCAGAGACACAAAACAAAAACCAAGAGAGGGGGCCATGTAAGATCAGTGACAGTTGGCATATAAATTGTGTACCTAACCACTCACCACAAGGAAAGTGGTGGTGTGCAGTCATCGACGGGAATGTTGGTGTTTAAGTTGGACTTCTCATGAGGATGGTCGATCTGGAAGGTTGATGGGTGGGTCGAGATGTTGCTGGTGTCAGATCGTCCGGGTGGCGATGGTGATGGTCCGGTTGATGAAGCAAAATGGCATACAGAGGTTAGGAATTTGAATCAAACAATATGATGTGAAAAGTAGTAACTCACCACAAGATGAGTGATGTGCGGTCATCGACGGTGGTGGTGCTCAGAACTTTGCAGTATCCGTGCCTATTCTGTGTGTGCAGAAGTTCCAGATGGCCCCAAAAGGAATGCTGCTGTTGCGGTGGGTACCTCTGGTGAAGCTTGAGATGGCGATAGGGAGGGAGAGTGTGAAGGCCGTGGAGTGTAGGGGAACACCTGGGGCCAAACTGATGTCACTCGGTGGCGGCGCAACGCCCCCTCTCTCACCGGCTTGACAAAGAAGAAATAGCACATCTTTGAAACGCATTGCCGTTCTTCCACGAGGCACCCACGCTGGACCCTCTCTTTTTTTCCTGTCAGCAGCGCCACTCATTACCTTGTGGTGAGTTACTACTTTTCACATCATATTGTTTGATTCAAATTCCTAACCTCTGTATGCCATTTTGCTTCGTCAACCGGACCATACGGCCAACTGTCACTGATCTTACACGGACCACCTCTCTTGGTTTTTGTTTTGTGTCTCAGGTCTTGCCCTCCGACCTGATCCCCAGGGTTGCCCTCCCCAACACCCACCTTTCCCAATCCTGTCTCCCCATCACCCGGTTTCCGCCTAAGCGGTCCCATACTCCAGTGCACCATCTCCCCTCACCCAGCCTGACCCCCACCTGCTAGACAGGTACAACTCAGTTGGAGCGCTTCCCCTCCCACCTTTGTTCACTTTGCAAGGGAATGTTCTGTTAACTTATTGAATGAGATAAAGCTCTGCTGACTTCCATCATCCAGTCATGTGCAAGCAAAACTAAGCATCGGCTAATTCTTTGGCTCACTTGAGCCGCCGGAGCTCTTTGGTTCAGGCTATTCACAATTTATTATGATGCAAATAAGCCCCCCTGCTCACAGACCCCCACAACCAATGGGTCAGGGCTTGTGGGGAAGAGGCCCCTGCCCCATCGGCAGGGGGACAAGGTGCTTTTCCAGGGGGGCCGAGGACACGTGGCCTGGTATGGCGGGGGGGGAGTGTTGTGGTGCGTTAGCTGGTCCCCCCTTTCTTGCCCTGCAATGCCAGTGCTCAGATTAAGGGTCTGGTTGGGCATTTTAGGGGGGACCCCACATTTTTGGGGGTGGGGTTCCTCCTTAAAAATCCTACCAGACCTAAAGGGCCTGGTATGACTTTTTGGGGGAACACCACACACTTTTTTTAACTTGGGGTCCCTCCTAACCTTCCTACCAGACTTAAAGGGTATGGTTTGGGAGGGGGGCCCCAATCTTTTTTTTTTTTTTCTTTTATTAATTTGTAATTTTTTAGTCTGCTCCCCTACCTTTAATCTACCTCGGCAGTAGCGAGCAGAATATCCGAGCCAAATGCCTTCCGGAGGCATTTGGCTATTCACTCGTTGCCGTTCGGCCCCTATGTGGAGATTCGACTCAGCCGATCCAGATGTTGGATTGGCTGAGTCAAACTGCTTCTTCACTTCAGCCGAACATGCCAATGTACGGCTGATTTTAGCCAATGTAAGGCTAAAATCAGCTGTACAAGGCCAAAGTGAATAGCCAAACGGCGTTTAGCTCACTTCTCTTCAGCTCGGTTATTCACTCGGTTGCCTTCGGCAGCTTAGTGGATAACCCCCTAAGTTCTTTTTATTTTTTATTTTCTTGCACATGGCTGGATATGCTTTGGAAAGTGAATTTTCATCACATACACAAAGCTAAGTGAGAACTCCCTTGCAAAGTGAAAATGTTCTACTCCATAGTACTCAGGAAAGATAATTCCCAGACATCAAACCACCAACTACAAATTACCCAAAGTCATGTTAAAGACTTCAATCAGTTAAATACATGTTATGTATGGTTCATCCAATCCTGGTTCCATTTGCAGTAATTTGTGATTAGTAAAGCCCAGTGACCAAGAACCACTCTCTGCTTCCCCATCACCCCCTCCCCCATCACTCAAAACGGCATTCGTACTTTCTTGCCATTTTAAGCAAATCTGTATAGTCATTGGCTACTTTCAGACATAGCAAATAGAAAGTAAACCCTTTAACTAATACTGTCTCTAGTTTAGGGAGCTAGATCAAACTCACCTGTACAAGAGCTGTGCAGAGCCCAAAAATCCCAACTGCAACGAGATTCTCATGAAGCCAAATTTTGACAGTCTCATAGCAAGGCTGGAATTAAATCATACAGATCGTTTTTTTTAACAAAGATTGGTTGAATAATGTATTTCTGTTTCTTTACATATTGCCATATTTTGCCACAGACTTCTCTTTGAAATGAGAATTAGCAATGTTACACTGAAAACATCCTTAAAAGCAGCTTGGCAAAACTGGCAAACCCTTCTCTGCAACACCACCACCGAGCAGTAACTTTGAAAAAGCAGAACTTAATTACACCAATTGAGAAAAGTTTCTTTTTCAGGATGTGTAAATAACATGTTGAATATACCAACAGCAAAATTTGTAGTGGGAAGCCCTTATAAATGCAACATAGAAATATTATATAAATACTTTGCAAGGTTATTTTCACCTTAGCTGACATAAGGCAGAACGGGCATTTAAAATATAACCTGAAAGTCATGGTTTTTGTCATTCGCTATATTATCTGCCTATTTATTTTTAAAAAATGATAATTTCATATGTTTTGACTCTCATCTGCAGATATTTCATTTCACTGTCTTCAGAAGCAGTGATTTGTTTACAGTTGTCACTAAGGTTACATTGACAGAAGGCGTCAAGCACTGAAAACAGATACTAAAGAAAACTGTAGGTGGTAACGAATTAGGTCAGCTGTAAAATAATGAAAATAGTTGTCAAGGAATAACTTGCACCTGTTGCAATAGTCAAATAAGGAGGAAACAAGTGAGATAATGGGTTCTGAAATCAGAGCTAAAATTAAAATGTGGGATCGATCTGAAAATGAAACAGGAAATAAACTGTGATTGGCAGTGAATTGTGCTGATCTACTACCGGTATAAGTCTCTGTTTGGCCTTCATGTGCAGTTCACCAAGAGCTAAACCAATTTCCGATATCTGACCAGTTCACATGGGACTGTGCTGCAATTACAGTATTGTCTTTCGCAAAGGAGCAGTTAGGACTCTCAAACTACATATAGATGGTGTACTAGAGAGTTCCTTCTCCTGTCAATGAAGCTATGTGAACACCATGATTAAAATATTGTTCAAATATTGCTTCCCATGGGGGCATAATTGTATTTTGTGTCAGTGCTACAGAAACAGTTTTCATCAATAAATGACACTGTAGTGGAAAATGTATGTACATCAAAATTTGTCCCTACAAAATCTATTGCTTGTGAGTGTGTGTGGGGGGGGGGCTGTTCCATGTTAGTATATGGGATTTTCAAACAAATATGAAATTTTATAAGTCTTTGTAAAGCCTATTTTTGCTAATATCACTGTACAGCTATGTATTTGAAAATTTACGTATTACTTACTAATGCAATCTAAACATTTGTATATGCAAGTCCTATACTTCAGTCTCAATCCAGCACTCTTTACTGTGCAGCCCCGCTCAGAGCCACACATCCTTTCCTCCAAAAAATGGCTGCTGAGTACTGAGCATGCGCACATGCGTGCCCTGGACACCATACAGACCACTTGAGTAAGCCATGTGTATGAATTTTCCATAGGAATGAGTGGGGTCAGACCATGCAGTTGCAGTCCAAAAAAAACAATTTTTAGAGGAGAGGCTGTGTGGCTTCAAATGGAGCCACACTGTGAACATCAATCAATCGTTCCTTAAGTAAGTTGATTATAAGACCTAGTGAACAGCACAAATGACCAGTTCACTGTCCTGGGGGGGTGGTTAGCTGTGGCTATTAAGAATAAAATGTTTTTAAACATTGCAGCAAGCTCAGTGTTCAGCAGGAGTAAACAACACAGCAGGCTCACTGGTAGGTGGCAATAAACAATGCTGCAGGCCCAGAGGTCAGCGGGAATAAGCAATGCTGCAGGCTCAGAGGTCAGTGGGAATAAACAATGTAGCAGGCCCAGAGGTCAACGGGAATAAACAATGCTGAAGACTCAATGTTCAGCGGGAATAAACAATGCTGCAGGCTCAGAGGTCAGCGGGAATAAACAATGCTGCAGGGTCAGTGGGAATAAACAATGCTGCAGGGTCAGTGGGAATAAACAATGTAGCAGGCTCAGCAGGACTAGGGAATGCTGCAGGCTCAGTAGTTAGTGAGAGTAACAAAGGACCTGACACCTGTGGTCAGTGAGAGAAGAAATAATGCCCATTTATTGGTATTATTGGGAGGAATAGTGCCCTACTGCTGGTGTCAGTCAGAGAAATAATGCCCCAATGTTAGTATCAGTGAGAGGAATTGTGTCCCATCGTTGTGTCAGTGGGAGAAATTATGCTTCATCCTTGGGAGGGATTATGCTTCAGCAGTAAGAGGAATTATTCTCCATCATTGGTGTCTGTGGAAGAAATAATCCCTCATTGTTGGTGTCAATGGAAGAAATAGTGCCTCATTGTTGGTGTCAGTGGAAGAAATAGTGCCTCGTTGTTGGTGTCAATGGAAGAAATAGTGCCTCGTTGTTGGTGTCAGTGGAAGAAATAGTGCCTCATTGTTGGTGTCTGTGGAAGAAATAGTGCCTCATTGTTGGTGTCAATGGAAGAAATAGTGCCTCATTGTTGGTGTCAATGAAGAAATAGTGCCTCGTTGTTGATGTCAGTGGAAGAAATAGTGCCCCATTGTGATAGGGGAAAGAACAGTGCCCCACTGGCTGGATAAAGGCTGGATAGCATGGGGACCACTGCTGCTTCATCATGAGAAATTATTATAATAGTTGTATGTACATGTGAATATAGTATCAGCATGCATGAACTATGTTGATTACACTATCTTTGTATAATTATTCTTCTCTAACATGTATGCTTTTTACAGTTTTCAAGGACTCAGGCCCAATTCACACTAGGGTGTGATTAGGTGCTTTTATATGCATTTGTAATGGTTTTCTAAATGCATATAAATGCATCTAATGATTTCCACTGGATCCATTCACACCTTGCGTTTAGATGCATTTAGATGCAGTCAGTTTAGCTGTGTTTAGGAAAAATAGAAGCCGAGTGCATCCAGGAAACATTTTTAGCTCTAAACGCGTGTAAAAGCATGTAAACGCAAGGTGCATCTATTTGATGTAATCTCATAGTCTACTTCAATGAACTGTTTTAATGGACAAAGGACAGATGCATCTAAAAGCATATGCGTGTAAACGGACATCATATTCAGCATCTAGAAGCATAGAAAAGCATTTAGCCTGACAGTTTTTGAAGACAGATCTCTGCATAATAATGCAAGTGGTGGGTGTGAATGGGGTCTTAAAAACAGTGCATGGTGCATTTTACCTAGCAAACAAATGACATTTTAATGCATAAAATATAAAAAAAAAACCTGCATTGCTGTATGCAGTTGCTCTTACCGCTTTCCACCACGTTCCTGGGGAGTGCAGGCCACAGTTCTCACTAAACTCCAAGCAGCAGGAGTCTGGCACACGGCTTGTGTTGTACACCTCAAACCAGTCAGTGTAGTTTGCAACCCCACAACACCTGAACTGTAGACAGACATACAAGAATACTGTAGAAGGTATTACTAAAATACTGTACTTACAAAGTGGCTCAAAGCCTTCTAACAGTTGGTTTCCTAGGCAAAAATCACGTATTTTCTAACCTCTTGATTTTCAGCTATAAAAAAAAAACCTGTTGTGAAATAGGTAAATAATATGATTCAGTTTTGGATAGAGTCAGGGAGGGTTATAACCCCTGTCAGCTTTTCATTGTCATCTGTATACCATTGGGGAGATTTTTCTCCCCGTCTTGTAGCCACAGCAAGAAGTAAGAGAAAATCTCTCCAAGGAGAGGGACATCCATTTTGGTCAGCAGAGACATCAGAAATAGTGCCCCATTTAAAGATTTCCCATCTATTCCTGCTCTGCTGACCACCTATAATTTGGGATTTTCTTTCACTTTCAGTATAACAGTCCCCAGGTCAAGTAGAGAGGGTAAATCTCCCTAATAGAAAGATAGATAGCAAATAAAACCCTGACAGATGTTCTAATCCTTCTCCACTCCATCCAAAACTCCAAAAAACACATTTATTCTTAAGTTGCACTTTAACCTCACACTCTCATATTCTACAAATAACATGTATATTCTGTGCCATAGAAGGTTATTTCTGGGAGCCTGCTTGGGACACTTTGATACAATTTTCTAGCTCTTTCTTCAAGTGCCTCCATCTTGTCTCAAATTGGTGCCATATAGCAAACTGTGACTCATCTTAAAGACGAACTCCACTTTCATTTACACTTCCCTCAAAGGTATCCTTCTTGTGATAGAAAGTTAGACATCTAAGGGTCTAACAGTTACAATTTAAATGCATTTTGAAAGGTCTTTGAAGGCCAGATGTTGAAAGCTCACCATATAGAAAAAATACTGCAGTAGTTAGTGTAAATTATACTCTCCTCCTCCAACACTTTTGGCTAAAGCTACTTGCAGTTCTGTTGTCCATGATGATGAAGGTACTCCACTGAAGCCATATTTCGATATTCAGCAGCAGGATGAATAGTGAAGACATCATGTCTGGGAATAACTAACTGACCAACATACATTTCGGAGTTTTGACCTGTGGGCAGTTTAACTGAAAATATTTGTTAACAGTTTAGTGTATCAAAGTAGGCTTTTTATATATTTTTTTGTTTTAGGACAGGCAGGGCTTCTAGTAAAATGGTGATGCCAAGATCTTTTGGTCTAAAATACCTGACAAAAATTGACTGTTCCTATGTCTATTCTGTCCTAATGAGCACAGCCTTAGAAAATGACTCCAACAGGTATTTTGTCTAATTCTCCTGTGTAAAAACATAAAGAACACTGGATTTTAAAAGAAATCTACATATAATGGGCACAACAGGTTGAAATCAATAGCAGAACTGCATAGTCCCGAATTTTCACTTCAGCACTAAACTGGTAATATATACATTTACTATACATGCACACCAGTTAGCCATAACATTAGGACCACCCACCTCACATTGGGTAGGCCCTCTTTTTGCCACCAAAACAGCCCTGACCCACTGAGGCATGGACTCCTCTAGACCTCTGAAGGTATGCTGTTGTATCTAACACCAAGCTGTCAGTAGCAGATCCTTTAGGTCCTGTAAGTTGTGAAGTGGGGCCTCCATGAATCGGACTTGCTTTTCCAGCACTAGTATGATGTGTTGTGAAAAGCTCCGGAATGCTCCTGAATGCTGCTTTATGGTGAACTGACCTGCAGTTTCCCAGCTGAATTGAGACCTTCACAAGTGCTACACAATGCATCTAAAAACTCAGCCATTTGTGTTAGTGCAGTTTACATGAATGCATGCATTTTCAAGCACATCTGGTGAGAATTAATCCTTATGGATAAGCACTGATTTACTGATTTTAACAGATGTTGATAAGGTAAATATGTAATTTCCAAATTACTGCTTTATAGAAACAATAGATAAATGCAGGATTTGGGAATGTTAATGACAAAACTGCCCTGGACTCATGAGATGATGTACACTCATTGGCTGCTTTATTAGATACACCATGCTAGTATTGGGTTGGACTCCTTTTGTCTTTTTGTAGCATAGATTCAACAAGGTGATGGAAATATTCCTCAGAGATTTTGCTTCATAGTGACATGACAGCATTACACAGTTGCTGCAGATTTGTCGGGTGCAAATCCATGATGCAAAGCTCTACCAGCCTGAACCGTTGATACAAGGCAGGATGGATCCGCGTTTGCATGCTTTTTACATCAAATTCTACCTACCATCCTACCATCTGAATATCGCAACAGAAATCGAGACTCATCAGACCAGGCAACGTTTTTCCAAACTTCTATTTTACAATTTTGGTGAGCTCTTGCAAACTGTAGCCTCAGTTTCCTGTTCTTAGCTGACAGGAGTGGCACTCTGTCGATGTAGCCCATCTGCTTCAAGGATCGATGTGTTGTGCTTTCAGAGATAAGTATTCTGCATACCTTGGATGTAATGTAATGAGTGTTTGTTTGAGTTATGGTTGCCTTTCTATCATCTCAAACCAGTCTGCCATTCCCCTCTGACCTCATCAGAGGGATCAACAAAGCATTTCCGTCCACACAACTGCTGCTCACTGGATATTTTCTCTTTTTCGAACCATTCTCTGTAAGTCCTAGAGATGGTTGTGTATGAAAATCCCAGTAGAACAGCTAAAATACTCAGACCAGCCTGCTTGGCACCAACAACCATGCCATGTTCAAAGTCACTTAAATCCCCTTTCTTCTCCATTCTGATGCTTGGTTTGAACTTCAGCAGACCATCTTCACCATGTCTACATGCATTGAGTTACTGCCATGTGATTGGCTGATTAGATATTTGTGTTAACGAGCAGTTGAAGAGGTGTACCTAATAAAGGGGCGAGTGTGTAACTCCTGCAAGTACTGCATACAGACAAATGCCTCGCGTTGTGTATGCCTATAGCACTACATAAAACATTCTGACAGTAATGACACATTTCCTTACATCAGTTTGGATGATGCTCCAAGCATTAGTAAGACCTATGTTTCCTTCCGTCCCATACAAGTGAAGGCCCTTCTTCAGATCTTGCTGAGCATATCGGTCAATCTGGAATTTAAAAAAAAAAAACTATTGTTATAGCATCTCCAGAATGGCAAACTTGACAACTAATCTCACATTGAGACTTTGATTAACGTCATAGTAGGTTAAGTTACTTTGACAAATAAGCCAGCTCCACCCTCTAAACCATAAGAGGTTGCTTGCCACAAAACTATATTAACCGGAAAAAAATCGAGACCTCCTGCTCTCTAGCTCTCTTGTTACCTCCTCCCACACTCATCTCCAGAGTGTTTCCCATCCTCTGGAACTCCCTACCCCAATCTGTCCGCTTATCTCCTACTCTGTTCACCTTTAGGTGATCCTTAAAAACTCATCTCTTCAGGAAAGCCTATCCCACCTCAACATATCTGTCCTTTTAGTTCTTCCACTAACTCAGTCTAAACTTTATAATAATAAAAGGTACAGAGAAAACAGTCACATACAGTTGTGTGAAAAAGTGTTGGCCCTCTTCCTGATTTTTCATTGTTTGGCACTTTTGTCACACTTTAATCTTTCAGATCAAACTAATTTTAAATATTAGTCAAAGATAACACAACACTTTTTCACAAAGGGCCATATGGCTTTGGATTTTGTGAACACCGGCTCACAGCATTCCATTTGTAGCTGACAGAACCATCCATAAATAAATGTATTTGTCTTTGTCTAGATGATCACGTTCAATGTTTGCTTTCATTGCTGTATTGGACTGTGGACATGGTGAATTGTTACTGTAGGAGGCACATACTCAGTTCAAGGCCTACTAACATAATACAAATCGTAGAAACAATAGATTGGGAGGTCAGAAGCAATAAGAGAGTTATGTGGGGGAGTTTTACACAGGATGCTGCATTAGTATGTTTTCCATCATATTTCCATTCTGAGTTCATTGAGTATAACGGTTTCATTAATAGCTACAGCAGTTGTATGACATTGGCCTTGGAACAAGCCCAGGTAGATGACACATACAAAGATGCTATGTGGTAGCATTGGGAGCATCCGGTGTCTGTCTGGCCAGAGATAACACACAGTCAGAGCAAGTCTGACAAGAAGAACATTATCCGGAACAAAGACTGCAGAACAAACAAAGGCTACATACGGCAACATGAAGAGAAGCAGATTTGATGGTGACGGGGAATCGATGCGCTTTGCGTGGAAACAAACGGAGAACAAGCATTTAACCACTCAGCACAAGTCTCCCGTCAGACACGACATTCAATGTTGCTATTATCGGTGCTTTCAATTATGAACTACATACAATTTATATAGATTACTGTCATCAATAAGCCACTGACTGCATATTGTACAGTCTGCACATAGTTATAGAGGTTACATGAGCACAGCAGCAGAATCTACTACTTTAAAGCTGAACTCCAGCCTTACACAGAGTCTTGCATCGTTGTACCGGCTCCTCTCCTCTCCTGTGCTGTAAATGTTTACTCTGATCTCACTGAACACTGTTATCTTCTCACATTGTGTATGACAGACATTGCAACTCTCCCCGATGTTCCAGGAGTCTCCTGCTATATGATAACGGCTCCCAGACACCCGGAACATTTTCTCCCGGAAAGGTTTACTCTGCTCGATCTAAAAATCCAGCCGCCGTCAGTCAAAAAAAAACAAAAAACAGCATAGGAATGCATAGCTAAATTGCTATTGGCTATTTCAATTTGCAATAGCCAATAGCAGGCTAGCTATTGCACCCACGCACTGCTACTGTCAATCAGCAGAGGTGGACCTGAAGTTCTCCATCAGGTCCTCCTCTGCTGACTGACAGCAGCAGAGGGCGGGTGCAATAGCCAGCTCGCTATTGGCTATTACAGATTGAAATAGCCAATAGCAATCTAGCTATTCAATCTAGCTATGACGTTCTTTGTTTTTGTTTTCTTTTATTCTGACAGCAGCAGCTGTCAAAATACTAAACAAAAACAGGAGATAGCAAGGGAAGCATTAGCTTCTTTGCTATCTGCCACCATTTCAGGGGGGCTCTCTTCCTTGTTATTGCACACACACACCCGCCTCCGCAGATGGGGGGAGGGGGGGGAGGGGTAGAGGGCACCTACCTGAAATGAAAAGGGCCCCTCCCTGAGATTACTTATTTCAGGCTGGGATCCCTGGCATTAGAAGCTGCACCATGTCGGATAGAGCCTGCCTCATTTCCTGGCTGGAGGACATCCAGCATCATCTGACACTTTCCTCACCAGTCATCCTAATGCATCCTTCCTAGGAATTCCCACCCCAGCCAGACTATCATCCACCAACCAAGACATTTTAAAATTTGTATAACTGTTCCCAGGTGCCACCGCACTGCTTGCATCAGGACTGAGGGCTTGTAAAAGAAGAACTGATGCAGAGTGCTGTGATGTTTTCAGGAAGCTTTGTATAGCACCCTGCTGGCCCCTCCCACCAGCCATGATTTTTCTGCATTTGCATAGAGAAGCACAGAGACCCAGTAATGACATCTCTGGGTCTAAAATAAAGTACATAATGAAAGTCTTTGTTTAGAAATGTAATTAGCATTTTGATGAGGGGTAAAGGGGGAGGCAAAATATAAGCAGATTAAACTCTGGCTTTAAAGTGAAAAAACAAAAACAATCTCCTCTGGGTGATCTATGCACATTGCAAGGATATTAAACTGCGTTGCAGATTCCTACCATTTACAGTTCTAAAGAAATAGCTGCTTGTTTCACCAAATCCCTGATGTGGAGGTTCTTGCTCATTATCATCACTGCTGAAATCTCAGTGTTCTGCTGAGGAAAGTTGCATCCCTTATGGAGTATCTCCGGGACACTGAGATTCCTATTAATGAGGATGCCGAAAATTTGACTTGTATCTATAAAGACTTTTGAGAAAATCGGTGCGCCAATCACACAAGCAGGAAATGACAATTCCGGGGGCTTTCTGTACAGGACACCTCCAAGTTGCCGTATTGCATTGAACATAAAAATACAAAATGGCTTCTTTTGTAGCAATTGTATCTCCCATATTATGTATACAACGAAAGTGTGTTCTCGTTACATCTCACAAATGATCTGCACACCTATACACATGAGAAAAAGACCTAAGACTTAGTGCTGGTTCAAACCTGGGTGTTTTTCAGCGCTGAAAAACGCTTTACATTGAAAATCCCATGCATTTCTATGGGCCTGGTTCACACCTGGGCGTTTTTCAGCGCGTTTTGTCACACTGAAAAATGCCCTACACTGGAAAAAGTACATTAGCTTCTTTTTGGCAGATTTAAGCGCTGACTCTGCCATAGACTTCAATGGAAATGCCCTTAAAAGCACGTTTGAGCGTTTTTGTGTTCATAAAATGCGTGTTTATCACAGGCACACCGGGCACACTCCGGGGACTGTCAGGCACACTTTTGGACCACTTTACTGCATCATGGAGGACTCAGCACTGTGTGGCCTTGTGGATACAGAGACTTGTATCCGCATGATGCATGTAAAGCCATGCATATACGAACTGCAAGACACAGGCTATAAAAATAGGAGGACGAGGAAGCAGGCATGGTCAGAAATTGGCCAAAAAATCTGGAGTGATTGGGAAACTTTCAGTCTCACCGTTAAAGAGGCCAAGGCCAAAGGTATGTGACATGTGGTGCAGGTTTCATGATTTATTACTGCAAGTCCAAGTTTGTTCTTTGATTTTCAACATCTTCATGTGTACATGTCTACCTGCTGTAGGTGTGACTCAGACCTAATCCCAGCAAGCCTAGGCCGCATGGTGCTATACCTTCATCACCTAAAATTGGTGGAAAAAAAATTCCAGCACAAGGGGCGAAGGGGGTTCTTCACAGTAAGATCAGTTAGAGTCTGGAACTCACTGCCACAGGCGGTGATTTCAGCAAATAATGTGGAATTGTTCAAGAAACTTTTGGACGATTTCTTAAGGGACCGTAATATATAGGGGTACAGGTACTCCTAGAATGAGATCCTAATAGGTTGGACTTGATGGACTGTCTTTATTCAACCTCAAATACTATGTAACCTTTGTCAGACTTGCTGTGGATCCTGGGATTTGTAGTTCCACAATAGCTGCAGGTCAGAAATGCATGATCAGCACTGTCTATCTGTTTGTATAGATCCATGGTAACACGTCTCACCACACACTTTACACTGTCAAACTTGGAAACCGGAAAAGGAAATGATGTATCTCAGGAAGTAGTTTTCATTGGACAGCTTCTAGTGATTTCAAAAACGCGCATTTCAATGAACACAAAAACACCCCAAAAAAGTGCAAAAACACAAGGGTAAAACGCTAATAAAAAAAACCCCAGGTGTGAACCCAGCCTTAGTTTAGCAGCAGCACTGCAGGTGGGTACTGATGTCAGCAGCTAGTGACCGAAAACAATATTAATATTGGTACCCGCAATGTCAAATGTAATGCCGACTTCAGGTCACATGACCCACAACCAGAGTGCTGTGGGATCTGCTTTTTAGAATTCAAAGGTATGTTTCAACTGACCTACCCTGCTTGCCTCTTGAACAGGCCTAACAGTACAGTCTGGATGCACTTTATAAGAGGGTACAGATCATGTTTTATTAAACTTGTTGCATGGTAAAGGCTATTAAAGGAAAAGTAAAGAAAATTAGACATCTACTGGTCCCTAAGATCCATTCAATGTCTGTATTATTCATATAGAGAGTTCTAAACCCTAGGCACATACTTTTGTGCATCCTTAGCTCTGGGGCAAGGTAGACGGCAGAGTTCCAGGATGGAGAAAAGTTGGGCTACCTGGATGTGTATATGCCAAAGGTCCATAAGAGTCATAACAGAGATCTCACCTATCTGCATTTACCAGCAGGCAATCTGAGTGAGTTGCTTATTGGGTTGGAGTCAGTTGTATAGCTTTCACCATACATCAGGTTCAAGGTTTCCACTTTTGCAGCCAAATTTATGTTTGTTATGTGTTCCCATTCCCACAGCATACCTAAGAACAATGGAAACATATGTCTTGCTTTTCATGCTGTTTGGAATTATACGTAGGACTCTACAGGCAGGTTCTA